TTCTGAAAAATTCTGAAAGCGATTCGGATAATCAGCGATTCGGATAGTCAGAGTTCGGATTATTGAGATATACTGTATTAAAATGAAATTTGGTATGAAGACAGTTAATGTTCGATGAAATATAGGCATTTAAAGTAAATTATTTTTAACTGCAAGCACGAAATAAATCACATTTTGCTTTCATAATTTATTAACTAATTAATAAGTAAAACTCTTGGAGAAATTCCAACTGAATATCTTCGATTATAGTTAGTAAAACCATAAACATCCTTCTTCTGTGCTTTATACATCTTTTGTGCTTTATGCAAATAAAATATTTCCATCTTTTCTTTTTAGTGCATATATAGTAAGGGTTCACAGCTAAAATGTACATTTTATAAATCTGGTTAAAACCAGCGAGTCAGTTTCGTATTTACAGATAAATTGACGGGTTTTTTTTTTTTTTTTTTTTTTTTTTTTTTTTTTTTTTTTTTTTTCTAGTCAGTTTTAAGAATGCTTCGAAATTAAGGTCAAAATAGTATGTTGAATCAGTAATCAATACTCACTCTGTTTCTAGTTATATGAGCATCTTAACTAATGACAGAGTCGACTTACAACAGCATGACCTTTCAGATAATCACTCTCACAGAAAACTTTAATTATAAAATTACCTTAACAGTTTAATCCTGATGATTTTATTTTTAGTTACAAATGACCCACAAATGGTAGTAATAATTTCTTTTTATTAATAATAGCAGAAATAAAGCAAAATGGTAACAAAACGGTTGATTCAAATTTCTCCACTTTATTTATTGATTATGGCAACACCCAAATTCTGTCTGTTATGTTTACCTAAATCCAAATAACAGTAGTAAAAATCATAGCACCGATATTTATTAGATTTTGAGAAAAATTCTATCAAGCGCCTCTCATTTTAACATGGAAGCTGTAAACGAATGAGCTACATTTGGGATTCTCTCAATTAATTACATTTTAAAAGCGACTGAAGTTAACAAAACAAATCATTCTTATCTGTATATACGTTTAAACTCATAAAGTTTCCGATTAAAATAATCGTAATCATTATTGTTAATTCTGAATCAAAATACTACTTAAAGCTTAGAAAACGAACTAGAGATTGAAAAATGTTCACTAAACTATTGAAAAAAGGTAATGTAAACATATTACAAGTAACTAGTCTTTTATAATTAGATTTTAATTGCATACTTAATTTGAAGTGATATTATTTTAATAATATGCGTGCAAAGAGTGATATTTTCATAAATCTTTTCATTAACAAGAAGGTTTGAAAGCAGGATAAAAAAACAGGTAACCAGATTTATAAATTCGTACGTACATATATATTCGTACATATACAGCAGTTTCTAAGTTGCATACATATTATGTACACAACTTTCTAGTTTATGTAAGTATTCGCAAACAAATCAAAAACCTTCTAAAAACTGTTATAATTGTTCTCTCACTTGATGTTTGAATAATATTTATGTAGTAACTAAAACATTATTTAAAAATTCTTGCCCTTGAAGAAATTTGTTTCTTTAAAACGATACAATGTTTTGTAAAAATCAGCCCTTAAATTTACAAAATTATGATTATTTACGAATTCTCCTGTGATCGAAACGTTGGCAGGAAAGTCGTATTTAAGTATGGTAATACTAATTTAAGTATAGTATTAAATAGTATCACAGAAGGTTAACGAATTGAGAAATTTATGTTGAATTATCACGCAGGACAATATAATTCGTGCTGTAGTGTAAGCGGAGTGTAAGTACATTTGGACCATTTGACAAAGCTTTGAGCAAAACGCATTTCTGTAAAGTAGCTCTGGTTTTTGCGTACGACCTGAAAATGAAAACTTAATCTTTAGAATGGTCCTTCAAACTAAACTTTTGCATACACAAACATCTCTGCTGCGATAAAGAACACAAACCAACGCACACCAACGGTGCTACTTTGGTAGACGGTTGCACGGATTTTTGGCGATTTACGTTGGCGCAATTGTTGGCGCGATTTTTACAATCGTCAGCCATCTTGAAAAAAGCTGTTTCTACGCATAGTAAAGTATTCGAAACTTAAAAAAAAAATATATATCGTAAAGTAATGGATTAATTTTTTGTTGAAAATGTTGTTTTTTAAGATGGCAGGCAAGTGTAAATAAATACATTTACTATGATATAAAAATATAAAGTAAGGCTATTATTACTTTCAACAGTGAAAAAAGAATAAAACACCGCTATAAAAAACATTGTGCCAACGTTTAATTAGATTAAAATATTACTGAAATTGAATATCGAATTAAAAACCATCTACCAACATTTAAAAGATTAAATATTATTAAACTCAAATACTTTAAAATACGTTATATAAAATATAATTAACATTATATGTGACAATAATTATCTCAGCAATTTTTGAAATAGTGTATTATTTTTTTTTAACAAAATTCAAGTATACAATTATAAAAGAAAAGAAAAATATGTACTTACATTTTTTTGAGTAATTTAAACCTCTTGTTTATTGATAAGAACCACAAAAAAATCGAAATCATAATTGAATCGGCTCTTTTAACCACCTTCATCTGTTATCCACATATCTCGCACTTCATTGAAGAAACAATTAGCGAGGTTTCCTCAAAAAATTTAAAATAAATTTCCTCTGACGTTATTAACAATTTATAAATAAATCTTTGATTAGGAATGACAGCTTGGCCAAAATAAGGTCTCAAAGGGCAATTTTTTTTATTCCAATACCAATAATTCTTGGTAATTACCAATAATAACATTCATCATCGAAACGAAGATATTCCTTCCATTTGAAATCTGACGAATTCGAAGAGATGAATAATAAAATTTTAAAATGGCGCTGTAATGCACAAATATTCAGTAACCAATCAGGGAGCTGATTACATCACGCCATAGAATTAAATTATTTAAATAATCATTCATAATAAAATCATTTTTAAAACAAATGCAAAACTAAATTGTATTTTAATATTTAACAGCCATAAATAATTTAAAAATTAGGTTAATGTTAGATTAATAAAACAATTACTTTTAAGTAGGTGACGTCATTGATTACATCATCAATAACATAAAATATTATAAACAACAAAATTTTTATTTCAAATAAAAATGCAAAATTAAATTGATTTTTAATATTAAAAAAACATAAATAATTATTTAAAACATGGAATTTATGCATAATAAAACGCATTACTTTTTTAAATAAAATGACATAACTAAGTATCGGTTATCATAAATAACTTATGCAGCAATGGGTTTACCATAAGTTGTATTACTCGCCAAAAGAAAAATCGCCAAACAATCGCCAAAATCCGTGCAACCGTCTACCAAAGTACCACCAAACCAACTATAAAAAATCTAAGTTATGCTGATTCTTTTCCGGGGGGGGGAGAACAGCGACTATCAAACCAACCAATGCCAACAAAAGCCACCTGCTAGTGCTTTACTGTGGAAAACTGCTTCCTGTTTTCGACAGCAAACTCTGAAGAAAATGATAAAAAATTGAGGTCCTGATAGATTCTGAACTGCAACAACGTTCTCAGTTGCACGGCTATATCAGTTTAGGAATTTTTAACACGAAAATAGATATCAGTCATGCTACAACCACTTTATTTTTCAGATATCTCACCATCTGATTTCTGGCTGTTCTTTCTTACCCCCTTCTGTGAGTCAGCCTCGGAGTGGTGGAGGGGCAGCAAAGTTGCCCAGACGGGGAACGGTTAACGTTCCCGCCACCAAGCTGCGGGTGGCTTCCCATCATAGGGCGCTTGAGCCAAACAACTTCTATGTACATATTCTTTGCTTGAGCAGATCTTGGTGGTACATTTGAACATCAGACTCACAAAGTTGTACTCGGTAGTGAGTAATCTGCTCTGGCTGGCGATGCTCGTAACGAAGTCATCTTGTCGGGGCAGGTCTGGGTTAGTTTTACATGCCGGTAATAAGACCTCTTAGTCTTGGGGCCGGTTAATCCCATTTGTTGTTGGTGTTCTTTTTTTACCAATATGATTTTATGAGTTAATGCTCTCAAACAGTTCAAGCTGTCGAAAACGACGTGACAACCAGTGTACGACAGACAGCAAAAGTGAAGTTCTCTGGACATGTCCAGAACGGTGGCATCGCTGGAGCAAATACGTGTGTTCCGATGAATATTATTTCGAAGATGATTTAATAATAGTTTTTTACAATTCAAATAAAATTGCCCTACTAGTATTTTACGTGAACATTTTGATTACAGGAGTATAATGAGCTGAATTAAGTAAAAACTATCATTCAATTTGATGGCTACTAAATTTCAGAAGTGGAATTAATGAAATCTTACAATATCTCAACATTTCGCTTATCGATCGCAGCTATTTATCCATCTGAAATTGCTCAAAAGATTACCAATAGCAATCATACTAACGATAGTAACGAATCAGCTTAATTTTTTTTTTTTTTTTTTTTTTTTTTTTTTTTCGTGATTCGAGTTAAGATCCTTATTGTAAGGAATGATCATGAATTTAATGATTTTTTCAGGGTTCGTAAAGACCTTATATTATCCGATCAGCTTCAATCAGCGTACCAGTAAACAATCGCAATATTAAGCGTCTAAGAAAGTACATTTAAAAGTAATTAATCTCCTTTGATGTAATGATTAATTCGAAATAATCAGATCGATTCTTCTTCTTTTATTTCTTTTTTCCCTATGAATATATATGTGCATCTTTCTGCGAGGTACTTTTTTCTTCTGTTCTGCTGCTATATTAGATAACATTCAACAAAACGTACGTCTTTATTATTCTGCAACGTCCTATTATTCTGCAAATTGATTAAAAGGAATTATTTTGAACTGGTCTTTAGAAATTCTCTGGAATTTTTTCTTGTTCTTGTAAAGAAATATCTAGAATTAATATTTTTAAATGAAACAAAACACTTTTTAGAACTCTTATAGAATAGTTAGTAAGTCAGAGATTTCTGTTACAGCGAATACCGACATATTGGTAGAAGACAGGGATGAAGAAAAGCATGCCATTTACACACGGACTCTGCGTTTTATTAATATTCTTCTTTGGGTAAGTAATAGTAATTACAGCAAGTAATGAAAACTTTATTTCTCTCAACATTATAAAAATATAAGCTTATTTTTTTTGTAGTTAATTGAGAACTATTGTGCGTATATCTCCCTTTTTCATTTCTTTTGATAGGGGGGATCGCTTTTTTTAGAGGATTAATTGTGTTTTTTGGGGGTAGGAGAATTTTTTTTTTTTTTTCTTTTCTTCTCCTTTTTAGCCCCAAGGACGTTACACCCAAAGAGCTATTAATCTCAAAACGGCATTTTGCGTCCTTCCACTTTCTGCGTTGTTCACTTTTCAAACTGTTGCCACCCAATATTCTTTAATAATTTTCAAACTGTTGCCCTGTATTGTATTTAAAGAAAATTTGGAATTTATTTTATTATGTATTTCAAACTTTGTAAAATTTTAACGAATTTTTACTTAACAAACTAAACGATTTCGAAGGGAGCAATGGCAACACTTTATGCGAAAAACATTTTTATCTCCAGCGGGCGAGACTGTGTATCGGAAATTCTAAAGATATGCTGTTTTTAAATATTTTGTGACATTGCTATTGTATTGAATTTTATGTGGTTTAAGTGCGATAAACATGATATTTAATAAATAAAGGTAACGTACAAAAAGGTTAAAAAAAAACGCGCTTCTGTGCGTAATATAAAATCTGAAAACTTTCAGTTTTTTTTTTTTTTTTTTTTTTTTTTTTAATCATCGCGAAAAAATCGAAGAGGTGTATTTGTTAAAGATTTGCAACTATCTTCCCTCCTTCTCACGTTTAATCTGAAAATGTTTTTTGAGGTGGCAAGAAGAAAAGGAACCAGATTCTGATCTTTTGAAAAGAGAAGGAAAGTTCGTGTCAGTTTTAATGCTTGAAACGTAATATACCATCAACCTCCTGAGTGAAAAACCAATGTGTAAATAAATAAACTGTACAAGATTTATTTAATTTTATTAATATATCGATAATTTGATTTCGTGCTCTCTTAAAAGATTCATTACTTGAAAGTTATGACGCTACGAAACATAGTTATCCTTCAGCATTCCATATTCAACCATGTGTATAAAATTCCCAATTCACTACAAACAAAAAATATTGAAAGTTAAATTCATTTTTAAAATTTTTTGCTTTTCATAAAGAAACGTTCGGCATGCTTCTACAAGAGCATTCATTCACTTTGATTTGTACTGCAGCATAAGTAAAAATTATAAAATTAAATTTTAGAAAGCACAAATATGTTCATTTGACTACATTAAGGATCGTCAAAGATGATCTTGTTTCATGCTGATCATCTTAAAGCCAAGAATTTATGAAGATCTAGTTATTTATGAGTCCATATATTGTAATTTACGCTATTTCTATCACTTTTTCTCATAAATACATCAAAGCTTACTGTTTATTCTTTCATCCTCAGTGCACTCAAAAAAGTATTTGATACCCATAGAAATGCGACGGCTATTAAGTAAAGATCATTAGTGACTACATTTCATATTTTACGAGGACATGAAAATTAGTGAGTGCACAGGCTTTTTTGTGCGCAAAATTTGACGTCATTTGTATTCACGCAGTCTGAAAGCTTCCTGTTGTGAGATTAAAATGTTTAAGAAAATCGAGTGCTCGGAAGACTAGGCGGTACAGTTAACCATCTAATTCTCGACAATAGTAAAAATGGAAGTTGCGCATGCTCGTCGATAGATGTGTGAAATGGATCAAACGACAGCAGTAATGAGTCGCAGTAAAGTTCGTAAAATTTGTCAATCCGGCACTGCAATAAATGACAGTAAAATTCGTAAAATGGATGACATTGTCGAAGAAAAATCCAAAATGATCCATAATGAATCCCACTCTGGTCGGCCATCTGTAAACACTGACTATTTGGAACAGACGATTGAGAAACTGAATTCACTGAGAGAGGAGATTCGAGCAAACGGGGACAAGAAGAAACAAGAAAGACAAAAAGAAATGACAAATACCTCGGAGTGATTCTTGATGAACGACTTAGATTTAAAGACCATGTAATTAACCAAGTTACCAAAGCAAATAGAGCTTATGTGTCTCTCTATAATCTCATAGGACGGAAATCTAAACTTAGCTTAAAAATTAAACGTACTCTGTATTTAGCACTTATTAGACCAATTTTGCTTTATGCAGCGCCGTCCTGAGCCACGGCGTTAAAGACTGAACGAAGGAAAATTAACCTCCTGCAAAATAAAATACTAAGGGCGATGGTTAATGCGTCTTGGTATGTTAGAAATACGATCATTTATGAAGATTTAAAAATTAAACCAATACCCGACCAGATCCTAATGGATGCTCACAACTCTTTTGAGAAAATGGAAAAATCGCCAGTCACTACTTTGAAAGAACTTACGAACTATGATAGCACCGTGGACGTCGTGAAACGATGTAGGTCAATTCACCACAATGTAAAGTGGTAGCTGTAAATATATATATAGTTTTATTCAACTTATCTCATTCTATTGAAGTATTTAATCAAGCATTTAATCCTAGTATTTATCCAAGTATTTAACCAAAATTTATTTCATGTTTGTGAATTTGTGTTTGTGTTTACTACTAAGAATGTGGACTTAGTGCCTGGACAGGCCAAGACTTTTAGTGTTATTTGTACAAAGTGTAAATAATTGAACTCATCACGCCTAGCAATGTGGATCCAACCCTAATGGCTAGTACCGGTCACCTGAATTCTCAAGAATTAGATATTATTATCTCGAATCTCTCACTAAGCAGTTTATGTTCTTCAGTCAGGACTCAGATGATTTTCATAATTTTTAAGTCATTTTAAATTTTATTGTGTTAGTGTACGCCACCTTGACATGCCACCTTAAAGCTCTGATTGCCTGATCTCTCAGACTCTTATTTTCGCCTTCGGGTAAGTGGCGTGATAGCGCCCTAAATTTTTTCTACAACCGTGAATGGCCGTATGGCAAGTTAGAATGATCAGGTTTAAACTCTAAGAAGTTGATGCCTGTAGTGAACGTAAAGCATAATCATAAGAAGAAATGACAAGAAACACTGCTCGATTGTCAATAACTGGCTAACGTCATCATACCTCGCATACAACTCTGCTACCAGTTCTATGAGGAGCTTTTTGAGGTTGGTATCCAAAAACACTTGTTCTTCAAGTTGCGTTTACACAATGGTTTTTCGATCATAAGAGGTAGAGTCGAGATTCATTTCCGGACCATCAAATCTTTCTACGTCACCCAAACTGGTTTAAAACTGATTTGCTTAAAAGTTCTAACTTTTCAACTTCATGACAACATACTGTAAAAGACGAACAAATGTCAATGGATGATGAAACAAACACGTACTGAAATTCGGTGGACGGTTTGTATCAGCTATACATTTACGCATACAGAGCTTTACCTTTCCTAATTGGCTACGACTTAAACCCCATTAAATAGGTGTGAACAGAATTAATGACTTTTATACTTTACACCACAAAACTTTATGATCGAAAAAGCCTTCGCCTGAGCGAAGCCTTATGAGAAATATCTAAACTGACCAGGAAATTACGTAGAAAAATAGAAAAATTGCTTGTAAATTGATAAAAAAAAATATTTTAAAATTATTATTTGTTTCATTTTTATTCTAAAGCCAATCTTTCTTTTACTGCCTTCATACTGCATTCGTAGATATATGCTAATATTTGTATATTAGCATTATAATACTTTCAATTATGGGTGCATGGTCCTTTCAAATGCTACAAACTGCAAGAACATTTAACTCTAGATAATAAAGATACGGAGAGCGCTTGCTATTGCTCGCTTTCCATCTGACAGTTGGAATGTTTTCCAAGTAACTAAAAAAATTGACTTTCTTACTATAAAGTAAATCATTGTCACCAAATATTATCGCACTGTATTATATTTGAAGAAATTAAATAATGAAGAATCTGCATAAATGTGTGTTTGTTTCTCTCATTGTGAGGAAACAACGTTACCTAGAGCCAAAATTTGAATAACGCAATCCTTCATCCGAATATGGGCATCTGGAAGCCCAAATTTGGAATTTGTTTTATTATCTCTTTCATACTTTTAAAGCATTTATGAATTTTTGATTAAGAAACTCGATTTCAAAGCAAGCAATGGCAACACTGTACGAAAAAAAAAAAAAAACATTTTAAATCTCCAGCGAGAGAGACTGCGTATCGGAAATTCTAAAGATATGTTTTTTTTAATTACTTTTTGATACTGTTGTTGAATTGAATTTTATGGTTTAAGTGTGAAGAACGTTATATTTAATAAGTAAACGTAACACACAAAGAGTTCAAAAAATGCCCCTTTGGGCGTAATATAAAATCTGAAAATTTTCAGATTTTTTCCCCTCTGCCTTAAAAAAAATCACTCTCTTTCTCTCTTTTTAACTACAGATTAGTGGAATAGCAGTTATTAGCACTGGAGCTTACGTTAATATCGATATGGATGACGCCAACGTATTGTTGGGACCTGATGTCTACTATGCAAGCAACGTCATGCTCATCATTTGTGGAATCATTATCGTTGTCTTCTCCTTCTTGTCCTGCTTTGACACCTTCTTCAAAAAGAGGATCACATTATGTATAGTAAGTATGCTACAAATGAAGTAAAAAGAAGATTGCTTTTTCATACAAAAAGAGTAAACCACTTTTTTTTACGAGAGCACTATTACTCTACTATTACTTTTCATACATCCATATGCCTGAAAATACTATTTCTGGCCTTCTCAGGCAAGGACATGGAACTTGCAAGAAGATCAAAATCGCAATAACAACCTTTTATTTAGCGTACATATATTAAAACACTCAATCGATTTCGAGGGCACCTAAAGGTCCCTTCGAAATCGATTGTTTTAATATATGTACGCTTATCAGGTTCAATGTTCCGCCTTACTTGCTTTGGGAACATTCAAGAACCTGACTCGGAACAGGGAGCTTACTAAAGCTATGTTCGATAAATGTGGGAAGTAGACAAGATACACAGGAAGGGTATACGAACCCTAACCCTTATTTTTCACTCTTTACAATGGTTTTCGGACTTCGGAATACAGAACCACCACTTGTGGTCTGAACGTAAGAATATAAAAATATTAACTAAACTCTAACTTAACTTTGGAATAATAAACAAGGGCCTACGTGGAAGATTGGCCGTATATTAACAAAAAGCCGTATGTAGTACAGAGAACTGTTAACACTACAATACGTTTAAAATTTTTAAGAGGATTAAATCTCTGGCCTGGAAGGCAACCAGCAACCGAGTAAAACTGCTAAGGCAAGCGGCCTGCTTCTACTAACTCCTTCCTCTCTCTTGCTTGGCAAAAAGCCACAACTTCAGTACTTGGCGTTCGCAAGACAAATTTGCATAAATAAGTTAAAGCTTTTAATTCTGGCCGGAAGTAGAAATAAGAAGTGATAGTAAAGATTTAAAATAAAATAAACGTTAGTAAAACTTAAGATCCTTACACGCTAAATACAAGGTTGATATTGCGATTTTGATTGTCTGATTGGCATGTTTCTCTTCTATTCTTGCAAGAAGATGTTACGTTTTCAGTTTATCAACCATTTACATTTTTGTATTTCTTTCTTTCTGTGATGATACATCGCCACGCTGGAACTCTCAGCATAAATTTATTAGGTTAATAAAACTTGTTAACTATATCATAAACACCAAATTAGAGCAGAGAAGATTTAAAGCTCTTTTGGGAAAGTTTCGACCAACTGTGCGAAGAAATCTTTCGGACGGTTGTGTTCATTGCTCATGTTGGCACACATCAATCGGTAGAGGATAAGTTTACGCTACTCTACATTTTCTGTGTGGTGTTTGTGTGACAATCTATCTTAACTAGATACTTACAAGTATCAAATCAAAGTTACATGTGCCCAATATGTGCTGGCCTAAAAAGCGATATTACGTACATTGCGTTGTAAACCTAAAATAGAGAATAATAAAATTGCTTCACTTACTCAAAACACATGCATACGTTTGAAGACAATTTTCCCTTTTCAGTCTCACTTTATTTAATCATTTAAGCATTATCTGGATTAAACACATCATATTAATATCAACGCACACAAAATATAAAAGAACTACGCAGCCCTGTGAAAACTAGAAAACAAATCTAAATCAGAAAACATCGTTCATTTTCCTTATTGGAAATATTATTACGTTTCGTACACACAGCCCGAAAGGTTTTTTACACATGATTCGTAGATTATTTCTTTTAATAACTTATCTCCTATTTCAGCGTGATGATATCTGCGCTACTCACAAGTTCCTTCAATACACACGGCCTGAGCATATGCACCACGAGGAAACCATCCGATGATCAATGGCAGCAATCTTTTCACTAAAAACATATAGTACAACGTTACTTATGCATTAATATCCAGCATACTCGTCCAGATATTTCGTGCAAATTTTCAGGCACCTTTGCTCCTTCTTTTTCATCAAAAAGACGACAACATTTTCTGGAGTGCGAGCGATGCAAGGGCTGCAGCCCCGCATACTCGTGCGAGCCGTAGTTAAGAAAGAGAGAAAAATAAAACCTGTTTGGCGGGTATTTATATGCCCGTGTAGTTCTTCGATTCCGATTAATGTTACGATAGTGTCCATGCTGATGAACTGCGTGGTGTGAGAAATTTCCATTCTCACATTCTGACAGATATTTTGTTTAATGGCCAGGTGCTTTGTTTAATAGCCATTAGCTTTGCTCCACTACAAGGGCCGGAAGTGGTGGCCAGTTCATTGTGGAAGCACCTAATAAGTGGTAACAGTTGCCTCCTATGAAGGGAAGAACATTTAAAAACCACGTTTCCTCCGGGATTCGAATTCGGGCCCATCGTTACGGTAAACAGTGGCATTAAATACTATATCGGCTGGGCGCCTTTTTGATTGTTATAGCTACTAAACAAAGTTTTCCACTGGAGCAACATATGTTGTCTCAAAGATGAAAGGTGCGTCTAATATCATGCTGGTAAAATAGTTTAAATCTCAATATGGCCCTCAGTCCCTGAACTTACAGAATGCTGGAATCTGTGAGTAAGTGATTAGTTTTTATCACAGCTTGTAGATTAGGCAAGAAGCAACGTCTTGTTTTCACCACTACCTTCTCATTCTTATGCCACTTTGACAGCTTCTTCAAGAAGAGGATCACATTACCTGTAGGTAATGGTTTTAAGTGCTTGTCAACTGGCATATGAAACTAACAAAATTCTACCGATATTGGCAGTAATGGTAATGGATTTCAAAAGGTAGAATTATTCTTTTTGTCTTAAATGATATGAGCACGAGTACGGACTGTTTTCTGTAAAAAAATATGAGCTACAGCAAAAAGCAAATTTAAGAGAAAATAAGGAAGCTACTTTTCAAAACATTTTTCAAATAACTTTTATCTGGAATTGATGATTGTGATTTAGGTGAGAATCTTCAAGGGAATTCAGAAGCATCGTTTTCCCAGCCAGCAATAGAAAAATTAAAAGAATGATCAAGAGACTAATAATGATTATAACAATGGAAAAAGTTTCAATGTTAGTATCAAACCTCAGAGTAGCGTTGTAGAGACATTAGGCAATTTGGAAGCTGAAAAGATGAAAAATTGGCAACGCGGAATCTTACCGCGTACCTCTGGAATACGCGCCCAGCATGCAGACCACCACGAAGGCGTGCCAAGAAGGTGGAAGAACTTACCTTATATACTCCCCCTTTTAAAGAATGACTGGGGTTTTTAAGGGACCCAATCGCCAAATCCTGGGTGTGGAGAATCATCAACTAACATCTTTTTAGTTCGAGCGCCATTGTAGAGACATTACGTATTTTTGGAAGCAGGCAAGATGAAAAATATGCAACCCCTTCGCCGGGAATCGAACCACGGACCTCTGGAATACTCGTCCAGCGTGCAGACTACTACACCACGAAGGTATGCCAAGAAGGCGGGAGAAATACCTTATAGCGTGATTAAATTAATGTGATACTTATAAAAACGTATTCCTATAGCATTTCACATGACCTTGTTCTTTAAAATTTAAAGAAAAAAGTCCAGTTGTAGTTAAAAGTCATACTTATGTAGGAGATACGATTCAGAAAACTGTGATTTAATTTAATTTTATTTTCTGTTATTCAGCTGACATATTGCTTGTGTATCACTTTCGTTACTCAGAGCGTCATCGCTGCATTATCTTTCACGTGGATGAATGAGGTAATAAATATTTAGTATATAAAACACTTAAGAGTTCCTTTTTTTTTTTCTTTAAAATTCTGTTTTATTTATCTTTTAACATATAATTTAACCGAACTTTTGAATTTGAATTAAAATGGTGATCTAAAATTTAAATCGAGTTTTTATATCTCAGTTGTATTAATATAGTCCCACTGCTTCACTAATTAGGAGGCACTGAGAGATAAAAACCTGAGGATTTCAAAAAATATTAATGATATTTCCTTAATCTAGATCGACTATTTTCTCGATTCGAGACTGAATCACTTTATACAAGAGGGATATCATCCAAACTTGAGAGGGACGTCTGCATTCACTGCGTTGGACAAAATTCAGGAAAGGGTAAATTACAATGACTCCATGCTTTAACAAAGTTACTATATTTTCGTTTTGTTTGCAGTTTTAAATGAAATCAGAGACTTAAAAGGCGATAATCATCTGTTATTTATTCGATAACTTTTCTAAATATTGCACATTAAAAAGTTCATTAATGAATGAAAATGCTTTTTTTTTTTTTTTTTTTTTTTTTTTTTTTAGTCCAAAGGGATTTGAATCCCGAAGGACTATTAGTTTCGTTTTGGCATTTTGCGTCGGACTCATAAATGTCGGTTCACTTTTCAAACTGTTGCCACAAAATGTTAGAGTCCTGCATTATATTTGAAGAAATTAATAATAATGAAAATCTGCGTAAATGTATGTATATTTCTCGTATTGTCATAAAATAACGGTACATAGAGTCATCGAATTTTGAATAACGTAATCCTCCAACGAATATGAGCATGTGGAAGACCAAATTTGAAATTTGTTTTATGATCGATTTCCTATTTTTTTAAAACTTTGACGAATTTTTGATTAACAAACTCAAGGATTTCAAAGCGAGCAATGGCAACGTTGTGCAGAAAAAACATTTTTATCTCCAGCGCGTGAGTCTCTGTATCGGAAATTCTAAAGATATGCTCGTTTTAAAAAACTATTTTGCGATATTGCTGTTGCACTGGATCTTATGGTTTAAGTGCGAGGAACATGACATTTAATAAAGAAAGGTAACACACAAAATGTTAAAAAACGCCCCTTTGGACGTAATTTAAAATCTGAAACATTTCAGATTTTTTTTTTTTTTTTTTTTTTTTCCCCATGTATGTATTTCGCGAGTGCAGGAGCAGGACAGTGAAACTGAAAAAAACTATATCTGGAAATGCCATACTTTAGAAACTGGTGTAGACGTGTAGACCTTGTTTTGGAAGTCAATATGGGAGTGAACCTTTTTTGAGATGACTGATATTAGGCTTGTTTAATCATTAAAAGTATTTTTAACCATTACTTTTGCAAAACAGAGGTAGTTTTACTTTATGGTGGTGGAGGTAAACATTTCCCAACTCTGTCTGATAATACGTTCCAGAAAACTCAATCGTGTCGAGGTTAAGGAATTGGGTAAGATGTGGAAGATTTTCAAGTTCACTTTTATGTTTTGCAAATCATTCTCTCTTAATCTTGCAGTGTGGACTGACACATGCCTGCCTCTGTTAGACACCATTCGTCCCCGTTCTCCGTAACCTACCTAACTTGCTTAATTACAGATCCGAGGTTCGAATCCCGCGAACGGGCTGGCTGCATGGGCGTTTTCGTGGTTTTCCCCATGTGTAACGTGTATACGAGCCAGTTTCCCTTAGAAAGTTCTCCACGAAGGCTTCCCTCCTCTTAGGCAGATAGCCCTCGAGGTTTTGCCATAATCATACACACACACATATAATTACAGATCCACCATTCCTGTCTTATTTTCTTTTGGACTCTGGTATATATTCTATCTACACTCTGTAATTCTAAATGTTTGAAGTCGTCGAAAACCAAATTTTAACATTCTGCTACTGTTAATGCAACGAGAATTCTTTTAGCAGTCCCAATCGGAATTGAATAAGCTGGCTTGAAATTCGAGGGGCCATATTCTCCATGCGTTTCAGTTTCATTTTCCAACTCCTGTACGTATATTTTTGAAGAAAGGCATTTTATGTAGTACAAGCGAGATTAGTAGAGTAAGGTCTAACCGGGATAATTGCTTTTAAGAACGATAGCTGAAGATATCACTGCACTCGATGCGTGTTTTTTTAATATTTTTTTATTATGTGTTTTTATTGCGATGAAAAACGGAAGACCTTGACTTCATTCGCTTTTAAATCATTTGCGTAAGATTCCGTTTCTCATGAAGTGCAGTCCAGTACGATAGGATCTCATACATTGTATAGATTCAGATTTTTACTGTAACGAAGCATGGTCACACACTGTGCAGGAAAAATGAGCAACGCCTTCGCCTGGAATCGAACCGCGGACCTCTGGAATACGTGCCCAGCGTGCAGACCACCACACTACGAAGGCATGCTAAGAAGGCGGGAGAAATGCAAGGTGGCAAATAGTTTTAATGGAGTCGAACTCCGTTTAAGAGGCGTTCTCCTCTCAAACTCTCAAACTCGGAGACTCCGTTGAGTCATTAGCCCTTTAGCTCAGGCGTGTGTTAAGTAGAAGTTCATTTTGTCGTTAAAGGGCATTTTATTGTGGCTTTTGGAAGTATTACAGAAAAATCCTGATATAAATTCACAAGTTTTGGTTTCTGTACTTTACACGAATATTGGAGAGCTTTTGAGTACTTCCGGAATTGTTACTTGTTTATCTATTTATTTATTTATTTATTATTCAAAATGGAGGTACAGTAAGACCCCGCTTAACGCTGTTTCGGTTTAGCGCTCTTTTATTTCAACCCGGGGATTCCACGAAATCGCTCGCAGCATACGGGGATTCCCCGAAATATTATGCAGCGATAGGTTTCAAATACATATCCGAAAGAGTGTACTTGTATTTCTTGTTTGGTGCGGTATTGTACAGACATATTTTGAAGGGGTAAAATGTGGAAGATGTCGAAGAAATAATTCAAGAAGCCAGCGGCTAGTCTTTCTAATGATGAGCTCAAGGAATTAACTGAACAAAAAGAAAACAAAATGTTGACAGCAGTGATTCAGAAGAAGAGCAAAAGAACTTTCGATGGCGTTTGTAAAAAGGAGATTGTCTACCATAACTGAAATAATGGATCAATTCATTGAAAATGATCCGAATTTTGACAGGAGCTCAAAAGTAAGGCGTGGTGTTAGAGATGCTCTATCCGTTTATGAAGAACTTTTAAGAAACAACGCAAAAGAAAAAGGCAAACAACATTAGATGCTTTTGTCGCAAAAAGGCAGAACACTGAAAACGCGGAAGGCTAACTAAATATGACTGAGAATTTTATTTGTTTTTTTAAGAATATTCGTTTTGTTATTTATATTTTGTTTTTATTTTTGCAAGAAATAATAATGTGGTATTAATTTGGGCTTTAAGAAATAAATGTTTGGTTTTATTTTTTTAAAAAAAACATACTTTTTAAATTTAATACCTAATCAATTTCCTAGCCATCTTCCCCTAACCCCAATATTTACATGTAAAGATAGCCTCGTTTAGCGCTGTTTCGCATTACGCTCTACTTTGATGGAACGTATCCCCCGTGTTAAGCAGGGTCTTACTGTAATTTTAATTTTAAAAAAGGGAGGGTAGTTATTAAAGTAAATGATCATTTCCAAATTAACAGATTAAATCGGATGGCTATAATTAAACAGAATCTTTGTTGTTGACTGTTTAGGATATTTGTATTTGTGAAATCAAATAAGAGTTCTTACTTGGTGGTCTTTAAGATGTCAAAAGGAAAGATTAGCCTATTTTTCGAAATCGCATACATTTTGTTGTGATAAAATAAGAATACGGATAACTACACATCTCCTGCGAATATTACGCATATATCAATATATTATGTTTCTAAATATCAGCCCTTAGTGAGCCATGGCCTGCAATGCCCTGATACCTGCTATCTTGACGTGGGTCTCGGTCTGGGAATCGAACCCAGAACTGTTGTGCTGCTGGGCGACACATTAGCCACTGCGCCATATTGTGTTTCTAGCCCGTTGAAATAACATCTTCGTGAGACAATGACCTTTGGAATCTGTTGAATGTGGAATCGGCTTCAGGAAAATGGCAGGCATAAAAAGAGGGAACAACTATAACAACAGCATCAAAGTTAAGAGAATAAAACTTTAGACTGTTGTGAGCTATGTCCTCAAAATTTTCGAACAAAATGCATAGGAAATATAGGCGACATGGGCCAATAACTGGAAATGTGTTGCTCCCAGAGAAATTTTTACTCAAGGAAGGTAATTTGATCATTAAGAGAAAAGTGAAGTTCATGTTATATTAGTGCAAAGGGAAGAGTGAGAAGTATCACCCAGTTTTTTTAGCATATGCCGTGCAGTTATGAATCTGGTTCCAAGAAGTAGCATCAGGCTGTAAGATTACTCAAATTAATTTGGCCTCAACATGTTTCATAACCTCCAACATAAGAATGACATCAAGTTCAGCAAAATAGAAATGTAAATATATCATAGCACAATAATGAGAGTATTATAGCACTTATACAAGTTTATAATAAAATTTCTTACAGTATCTCATAAAAGTGACAGTACACATCACTTTTGAAAGTTGTTTTAAAACTTTTAACAATAGACAAAGGCCATCATTCATAACAGTATACTCAGGGTCATTGTCTTGACAGAATTTGGAATCAGATTTGCAAGTTAAATTTTTGCACCAACACATGAGGTTTCCGTTTAAAATTTTAATATGTTTGTACTGATCCATGGTAACATCAATAAACTTAATATTATCGTTTCAAAGAGCAGAAAGCACCCTCCTGTACCACAATCCCTTCGCTGCCATTTTCTTTAACTGGAATTAACTACGGTTACAAAATTCTTTAGGTCATCTGCGTGTTATAAACAGACCATTATGGTCAAATGTGTTAAATTAGCTGCTGTCATCAAATATTATCTCACTGTAATTTTCTTAATATTTAAGAGTGATTTTACGAAATGTTAGAAAAAGGCAACTGCTTCAAAGCACTTGCACTACGTACCTTTCGTAACTCTTTCTTCTTCCCTGTTACGTTTTTCTTTTGGATTTTTCCGCTTTTACCATATGAATGTCAAATTAGATTTTCAGAAGTTCTTACAATGTTAATAATTGCACATTATATATATATATAAAAAAAAGCATGCAATTTGCAGCAGCAAGAGGCGACTGAAGCCCCATCACCTCTTTTTCTCTCTTCACTTCTCACTCTGATTATGATATTTCACAACTGATTATGATAAAACGATGCGGATGAAATTTAAATATGAGGCTTCTTTTCACAATGTGTTAATAAACAGGTCTAATTCAAACTTTCATTCGGGCTTATGGTTACTCTAAGGTAAAATAAATCATCGGGCTATCTTAATGGTTCTAGGTATTGGCAGTAAAAATAGTGTAGGAATATTTCAAAGGATAACACTTTCTATAATTTCAATTTTATGCTTTAAAAATTTTTTCAAATGAAATATGTCCGATCATTTCGGTGAGACGCAGTACATTTGTTGCATAATATATTTTTTTTAACTTTACATTTTACATATCCATCAGTGCTAAATTTTTGTAAGAAATCCATTAAGTTATTTATGAAATTTATAGCATTCTTCTCAAAGCCATTCCATTTCTAAAATTCCAAAGATTTTATCATTTTAATGCCTTACGCTCTGTGTCTAGTTCCAGTGCTGCGGAGCTCGAAACTATACAGACTGGAGAACAAGTAAATGGCTGATAGAAACTAATGACAGCTCAGCGATTCCTCTTTCTTGCTGCAAAATAGCTGTCAGTATAACCAACTGTAACTTGAAAAATTTACGTAATATTTTCACGAAGGTGAGTAATGTCAATGAATTAGTGCATATTATCTACGCATACTTAGTGTGCATGCATCTATATGAAAATATTAAGGAGTTTATCATAATACTCATTACGGTTTTATAATAAAAGATAGTCATTTTGAGTTCATTTGAATAAAAACATGAAAAGCATCAATATTTAAATGTAATAATTTTTGAACGTTCAAATAAAATGCATTGCAAAATTTGTAACTGGATTTATTATGCATTAAATAAGCTATGAATTATCTCTCCTAGAAACTTTTGAATGGTAGGTAATCATGTTAAATATGGAAAATAAACGAAAAGCATTATTTTACATTGAATGACAACACTATGGAATGCGGTTGCTTGCCAAGTCACATGGAAGATAAATTAAAAAACTTATTGACGAGTCTGGAAGATTAAATATGCGGCGAGCCGAGTCCTCTCGAGAGCTTTGTGGTAAGGAAAGAGAGAGTGATAGACCCTCGGACCCGTCACCCGTGGTATTCTCCATAAAAATTGGGGGCGGTTTGAGCGAAATCGTGCTGTCGCCTGTATGGTGCTCAAGGCTCTTGACAACGACAGGCGAAATTTTGCACTCCTTGGCACTATGAATTTTTTGAGGGGGGCTATAGCTTTTAGGGTTCTAAAAGCTATAAGCCCCCCCCCCCGAAATTCACTTGCTACTGTCAAGCAAGTGAGATGAGTCAAACACCATACACACACATTTTGACGATTTTAAAGTTGGATGTGACGCTTCCTGCTGTCACTGGCAGCTGGTGTAAACTATAAATGCTTTAGAAGTGTAACGAAACGGTCGGAAATTTTTTTCCCTTTTTTTTTTTTTTTTTTTTTTTTTTTTTTTTTTCTCTCTTCTGCGGTGTAAGTGCACAATAAATCTATAAAAGTATTTTCAAAGTACGCGCTTTTATGAAATGTATTAAAAAGCGCAAAGTATATTAACGCGGAACTATGTTCATCAATTATGGTATCATCGACAAAAACTTCTAAGACTTTAAACATGTTTTAGCAAAACGCTTATATCTCAGTAACCTCAAAAGCTATAGTTCTAAAACTTTAAGCCTCAGAACATGTCATAGTAGAACGCTTATATCTCAAGAACCCTAAAAGCTATAGTTATCGTTTACGGCATATTGAATAATTAAATTGCAAAACTCCCAAAAACACATACACTCACAATCTGAAATTTGGAATTGGTATTAAACCATAGTACAGTCTCAAAGCTAGGCAAAAATACACATTATTTTGATGACGTCACACGTGAGCGTGCATGTGCTATGTTTACGAGAAACATCAGCGCTGAACCGTTGAATCATATTATTTTTCGTATTATCGGCCGTTTTGCATAAAGTTTCAAACTGCTTCACGTTCTATCAAGATAATGTTAAAAAATAAATAATTAAATTATTCTATTAGTTTCATTTTATTTTTACCCTTATTTCCCTAAACATTCATTCTTTAAAATAACATATAAAACAAAACAAAAAAGGGACGCTTAATCAATAAAATAAAATTAAGGAACAATAAAAGTCTTTGGATTTAGTCCTACGCATCTAAACCCAGCAGCGTTTGGAACAAATGTAACAGACAGTTCCGGTCCACCAACACCACCTTTTTTTTTTTTTTTTTTTTTTTTTGTTAAGCTTTGACAGCCTTCTTGTGCGCAGGCAACTAAAAGTAAAATTACGAAAGAGTTCTAAAAGCTCTGCTTTCGGAAGCAAATAGAACAGGAACAATAGTGGCATCAACTTTTAGAATGATATACATAAGAATGTTTTAGTTAGGAATTCGCCAGCTCATCAAGGTCCACCATTTTAATCATATGCTATCAAGAATGCTATAGTATTTAAAAAAAAAAAAAAAAAAAAAAAGCTTTTTTATTTTTATTTCATTCGGAGATTTTTCCTCATTCCCTGAATGACTTTTTTTTGTATTGAAAAAGATGAAAACTTGTGACATTTAGTTTAAGTTTTATTAACAATTTGCTTATGATGATTTCCTTCCTTTATTCTTTATTTCTTCACGTATTCGCTCAGTCCAGAGGGTTAAGCAAATTTTACGGCAAGCGGTGTAGGTTGATCCCTTGAGTATCATGACTGGCATTTTCCGGTCCTGAGAGTTTTTTTTTTTTTTTTTTTTTCATTTCATGTATATTATTACCTTATTATTTATTTTCTTATTTTCATTAACGACCTAAATGTTATCTTTATGAATAAAAGTTTATGAAAACAGGGTCTAAAATAATGACTTATACAAATTTAGTAAATCAAATTAGTGAGATAGCCATTTACTCAATGTTAAATAGTGTTGCGTTTTTTCTTTTCTGACACCAGTTGTTACGTTATTTCCTTCCTTCACGTTCGTACGGGGTTCGTGTGGATTCGGAGTGAATAACGACGACACTTGATGAAGTATCGAAACACACTTTATTTGCCAGTATTGTCAGGACAGCTCCCAAAACACGTTTTACAGTCATCGATGAACTACTATAAACACGCTGACACGATCAGCGACACAGCCTTCAGGTTATCAGGCTATCACGGTGGAGGCAGCTTCACTGCAAAGCACCACAGCTCCCGACACTGTTCGGTCGTTCTCGGAACTCTCGAGACTCTCCACGCTACAACTCGCGATGCACTCGACGACACACAGGGCACGGCTCCCGACTCTTCGGTTCAGTCGTTCCCAGAGCTCGACACGCTCTCTCGACGATGCACTAACCGCGATACACTAAGGCTGCTATCACACGTCGGTTTTTTTCCGAAGAACAACTGTTTGGAACAATTTTTCTGCTTTGTCACAACAGCCAATCAACATAGATCGCTTTGGGGTTAACCCAGGAGAAACTGGTTCCCCATTACAAACAAGCTGATAGCTGATTGGTTGAAAACGAACAACCTGAAAGGAAGGAAGGAAAAGTCGCGCGCTTTTTTCATTAAACCAGGCAGAAAAATTGTCCGAAACAGTTGTTCGTGTGAAACAAACGCCGTGTGATATGGGCCTAAGAGACTCCGGCTCTCAACTCGTTCGACTCCGCAGGGATTGACTCGATAGACGAGACACCAACTCGATACTGATTCACTCTCCACGTACCAGCAAGGTTCATATAGCTTTTGGCTGGTGTTCGAGAACATTCTGGGCTAAACCGGTGAGAATTCGTTCCAGAAGGTTCTCCATCCGTCCATGGCATATCGCCAATTTTGTCGCCAAACGGGCGATTTCTCGCCAAATGTGACAACCTTGCCTTCTCTAGCCATTCTATGGCAACCCTAAAACTACTTTGTGGGGAAGCCATCTTACCGTGCCTGTACATTTCGTAACAATAGATTAGTCCCTGTATTCTTATTTTTCCTGCAGAGCATCATGTCTTTAGATTTTCATGTTACAGTACAAAAAAAAAAAAAAAAAAAAAAAAAATTCAACAAAATTATCTACACATGTACAAAATTCGTAACATTATTTTATTATATTGTATCCATTTCATCAGCTTTACAAGCATGGCCACAGAAAATATGCATTTTTTTCCGCTCTCTGCATGCATGCGCATCACTGGTTTCCTTTAAACATACAAACATAATAGGAAGCAGAATATGAAAGCAAGTCTCAAGTGAAAGTAAGTCAGTCGGGAAGCATGTCATCAGCATATTGGTTTAATCCACCATCTACTATAACCGCATGATTCGAAACGGATTTGTGATACTAGTAACTACCTTGCCAGCTTTTCATTTTACATTCTATTGAATGCATAGAAAATGTGAGAAATGTTATTTGTTTCATACTCTGCCGGCCCGTTTTCTGCATTCTGCAAAATGCCTAAGTATTCTATAGAATGCCCCGGCTTTCATACATTGCCGGTACCAAATACGCAGCTTTTAGTTTTCTCTACTGTTTCTTTAACCGCGTTTGGAGATGGCGAATATCTTTGCTTACAATCTAAAAGCCATCAGAATTCACAACAGTTTTCAGTTATTAAAACATTTTTAGACACATGAAGTTTACAGGCACATTTTATACAACACTAACAGGGATACAAGATATTGCTCACAACAATACGACTGTAATATATTCAGGACGAACGCTGGATATTTTGCCGCCTGGTGCAATCTTTGCAGGTCCTAAATTTTGTTGCCCGGTATTTCCTTAAATTCTACTATCAAATGCGTGCCCTAAATTCTAAAAATTTTGCCATCCCTGAATATTGTTGCTTGATGCTTCAGTTACTTCTGAAACTTATGCTTTCCCTAAATTCTGCTGCCCAGAGCAGTCGCAACGGCTCTGGCGCCGGCCTAGACTATATGTCGAAATCGAAACTTAGAACAAAATGTCAGTGAAAGTTACTATTACAATTAGAAAAATATTGGGATACACCTAATGATATGTGATAGTATGTAAGAAATATTCTTCTCGATTAAATATGCATTTTAAAAATGTTAAAAATTTTTCTTAGATTTCTTGGTACTTTTCCGTTTCGCCGGCGCAAATCTCGCCAAGCAGACTTTATTGGCGACAACATACAGTATACACATAAAAAATATTAGTTCTAAAAATTTTTGATTTTGAAGGCATAAACATTTTAATATCGTTTAAAATTTTGTAAAAAGCCAATAAATAAAGAAGATAAATTTGTAAAAAGGCCATTAATTTAAGAATTTACTATGCTTTCATGGTTCAACATCCTGAGTCGCCGTTCATATCACGTGACCCCAAGTGATCTCCTCTCACGTAAACTAGGCTACAAAAATCTAATTCTCTCAGTAATTATCTACATCAATTTCAAGTTAGATCTTAATTTGAAATACAAGTTTAAATGCAAGAATTATTTCAATTCGTACGAATAGCTTACTCAGAAATTATGTAAAACTGCAGTGCTTTACTTCGCTAATGCATTCTCATTAGAATTCATGAATTTAACCCTTGACTTTGCTTTTTCTATATTTTAGGCTTCGGGTAAGCGCTGTGATTGCATCCTAATTGACTTATACATGTACAACGGCCATAGACATAAAATTGAACTATCTGGTAAAAATTCTAAGTAATTATATGCCAGTATTGAAAGAAACAATGAATCTGATAAGAAATGGCTGTGACTTGTCTTGAAAATGAGGCTTACCATTCAGGATATTCCGCTTGGCATCAGTTGTGCCATTATTGGCGATTTTATCGCCTGCGCCGGCAAAACGGAAAAGTACCGATTTCTTATTCAGAAAACGCATTAATTGGCTTCTACAGAAGAATTTTATCATTTTTAGGGTTGTTCAGAACCGCTGACAGAGAAGTACAAAACGAATTTTCTAACAATGGGTATTGTTTCAATTTTAATATCACTCTTCCAACTTCTTTGTTTCCATGTATCAAATTATCTCATGTTCAGACTTGAATGAAGTTTGGAAAGTCTGCTGAAAATTTTAGCATTTCAATAAAATAATTAGTTTTCTGCTTTTATTGTTGTTCTCTTTGTTATTTATCATTATTATTATTTATATATTATTATTATTTGTTATCATTATTTGTTATCTACGATTTATTTATCATGCATTATAAAATAATAAAAAATACCGTATACTCCAGCGTATAACGCACACTTTTAATATAAAAAAAATCGAAATTTACGTATGCGTGTAATATGCCGGATATAAAAATGATAGATTTGAAAATAAGGGAAAGATAAGCGTGCAAAAATTAGATTTCTAAGTGTACCTCAATGCTGTATATTTAAAAGAAATGACATACCTTATGAACTTAAAAATTTTCTCTATCGGATAACATGAAAAGTTTGTTATATTCGTCTTCCGTTATATCATCAGGCACATCATCGAATTCTGTTCCATCTTCACCTCCCGTTGTTACTCTCATCCATATGTAGACGAGCATCATCCGTTCCATCTAAACTATTTATTAGTTTTATTAAATTTTTAACTGACTTTTGAAATATATTGGGTTTTATTTCCTCTCATGTTTTTTTATTTTCCACTCAGACACTATCTCTAGACTACCATGACGCATTTGGCCTTCTTTTGTAAATGTTTTTCACCTGCTAACATCTACGATTCCACTGTCGTTTTAAATTCTTTTTGAATGGTTTGTTGATACACACATTTAAAGGCTGAACTACAGGGTTAATTCGCCTGGAATAATTGCCATGTCTGTCTGACACTCTTTCAACAATTTCTATGTTTTATCGATTAGATAGGATCTGAATACACTGGTGTGCAAAAATTAAGGACGAGACGGTTTTTTCAATATAACTTTGTACAAAAGCTTTCCAAATCAACACATTTAATACCGTAAGATCCCCAATACGTAAGGACAGAGTAATGTAACACACTTACTAAAAAGAAAATCAGAGGGATAAAAAGAAGCTTTATTGAAAAGTAGCATGGAGCGCAATGCGACTGAAGTCCGAAACATCCCTGTGATGGGTGTCCAGCAAGAAACCATCCGGTCTTTAATAAAGGGATATGATCTCCCCTGATGCTAGGCAGGTTTCACAGCGTTGCCCATGCTGAGAATGAGGGTGTCAATGAGTTGTGAATGCCATCGTCTTGCGCGCCGAAGGAATAGTTACTGGGGTAAGATACGAGCTGCCAAGCGTCTGCTAGAAAATCCCATAGCTCGATGGGATTGAGATCCGGAGATCGTGCCCTATCCTATTCACTCCTCTAACAGCTCTTCGGCAGCTACTGTGCGATGACATGGGTGCATTGTCGTCCATGAAAAGGAACCTGCGGACCCATAGCGCCCTAAAAAGACGCACACATGGAAGAAGAATCTCGTTACAATAACGAGTCCCGTTGACTGAACCTGCGTCGAAGATGTGAAGGTCTCCATACGACTACCAAGCATGATGCCTCCCCAAACGAGAACACCGCCACCTCATACCTATCCCTTTCAATGATGTCGAGGGATGATTGCGGCTTCCCCGCTCTCTCCAGATGACTATGCGACCAGAATCGCTACTCACTGAATCTGCTCTCTCTGTAAAGAGTACTCGTCCCATTCATTGCTCTCCAATTCGGTGTTCTGGCACCACAGAGAACGCCTTCTCCGATGGGGCAGGCGTTTAGAGGTACACACCGTACAGGGTGTCGTGCAAACAGACCACCACCGTGTAGTCTTCTGGTACGGTAAAACGCGATATCGGTCGTCCAGTCGCCTGTGGCGTGTGTCTAGCGATTTCTCCCGCAGTCTGCCGCCTTTTCTTCTGGCCAGTAAGGCAATACACCGGTCATCTGCGGGTGTGGTTCCTCGTGGACAACCACTACTAAACCCTGAATAGCTGTTCCTGTAGTTTGAAATGTCTCCAAAGTCGTGAAACGAAACTGTGAGCAATTCGAAACTCTGCAGCCACACTTGTCCACTGCGGCCTTCCTCCAACTTCCCAATGATTCGACCTCTGGGGTTAAAAGCATCCAGATATCGTCTAACAGATTGATTATTCTCCATTTCTCGGGAGACAGCAACTCGGTGTGATTTTAACTGCTATACGGCGTGCAAGCTCTTTGCCAGAAATACTGATCTTACACCGACAACATGCTTTATACTACTCAGACACTCCCCCATTACGTCTACCTGCATATCTGCGCATGTGCTACCGTACATCACCTTACTTAATCTCCTGATTGGTCTTTCTGTCCGCTCTGCCTCTTCGTTCAGCTGATATGCTAATTTTTCGACTTCGTCCTTAATTTTTGCACACCAGTGTATGTCCCAAACTAGAAGACCTTTCTGGATTCTTTAAGGCAAAGAGACGCTTTTACCAAACATTTCTTATCAACAATTTTCATACCATTTTCATCCATCCAGCCTTTCTCGTGAACAAAAATGACAGCACTATTTGAGAAATTACATTCGGCATTGTCTTTCTTTTAAAAGTAACCATGGGTTTTAATTTTGTACCATTCCGTTAAGCAGGAAAGAATTGCGGGGAGGTGAGATTTTTCGTGACCTCTTGTTTTTACGTGAAACATTTTTGTTCCTTTCACATCAATTATTTTATTTCTTCTCATACAAAAATTACTACAGTTTCATTCACATCCCACTCACCAGCGGCTGAGCGGTAAAATTGCTGAACACTGGTAGTTCGGTCTGGGTCGCATTCCGGAGAACGGAATGGCTGCATGGGCGTTTTCATGGTTTTTCCCGAGTGTAAGATGTATACGAGTCGGTTTCCTTAGAAAGTCCTTCACGAAGGTATCTCCTTCCTTAGGCAGATAGCCTTCGAATGCTTTGCCATAATCAAAATAAACCAAAACAAACCATCCATATTTCCAATACGTGATAGAAAAAATAATTTTTTGGTCATCGTCGGTCAATAGCATGTTTCTGGAAACTTATCAGTTTATTAGCCAAATCTTCCGGAAGCCTTTTCGAAACTTATCATTATTATTAAATTCCTATTAGTTCACACTCTCCCTATATCTTGTTCAAATTTTCAATCCTTAATAAAATATAAAATACTTTTTATTCATCCACTCAAGTTTAAATACATTTTTTTAAACTTGTAGTGGATGACACTTAATATTAATACAATACAGTTTTTTCACATATTAATAATTTTTTTCATTCTAAATAATTTTTTTTTATTTAATTTTTTTTTCTGTATTTTTAAAATGTTTTTCTTGTTGACCTAAGTAGGAATTGACTTAAATTTTTTTATTTAATTAATTAATGATTAATTAATACTTTTATTCAAACTTAAGTTCAAATACATTTTTTTAACTTGTAGTCGAGACAAATGTTAATACAGTTTTCTAACATATTAAATTTTTAAAATTACAATTAAATAGTATAATAATATTAATTTATAGTAATTATAATTATAATTAAAAAATTTTAGTTACAATTTTTTAGTCCTAAGGGGCTTTGTCGCTGATGGACTATTGTTTTCGTTTTGCGATTTTGCGTTAGTTCACTATGAATGTCGGGCCTACCAGCGGCCGAGCGGTAAAGTCGCTGAACACTGGTAGTTCGGTCCGAGGTTCGAATCCCGCGAAATGGCTGGCTGCATGGGCGTTTTCGTGGTTTTCCCCATGTGTAACGTGTAAACGAGCCAGTTTCCCTTAGAAAGCCCTCCACGAAGGCATCTCTCCCCTTAGGCAGATAGCCCTCGAGGCTTTGCCATAATCACACACTATAAATGTCCGTTTCACTTTTCAAACTGTTGCCACCAAATGTTAGAGTCCTGCATTATATTTAAAGAAATTAAATAATGAAAAATCTGAGTAAATGTATGTATATATCTCGATTGTGATAAAACAACGGTACCTAGAGCCATCGAATTTTGAATGACGTAATCCTCCTACGAATATGCGCCTGTGGAAGCCCAAATTTGAAATTTGTCTTATTATCGATTTCATATTTTATAAAACTTTAACGAATTTTTGATTAACAAACTCAAGGATTTCAAAGCGAGCAATGGCAACGTTGTACAGAAAAAACATTTTTATCTGCAGCGCGCGAGTCTCTGTATCGGAAATTCTAAAGATATTCTCATTTTAAAATTATTTTGCGATATTGCTGTTGAATTGAGTTTTATATTTTAAGTGCGAAGAACGTGATATTTAATAAATAAATGTAACACACAAAACGTTAAAAAAAAAGCCCCTTTGAACGTAATCTTATTTGTTTATTCTCGTGGGACTAAATCATTCATTACCATAAATCAACTATACCAACTCACACAAGTGCATGTTACAGCCAACTTACGCATTTAAATATCTCTGCGTAGGTTTTGATACCAATGATTTAGTTTTAAATTAAAATTCTACTTTTGAGTTCATGCCATAAATGCTGGCTGGTTTGGTAAGCGCCGGAAGTGCCTTTTGTTCATCTTATTTGAGTTCTTAATAAATAGGTCTTTTACACACTGTACACTTTTATGCACTTTCATTTCTGTCTGCTTATCTAGGCATAATGGTAAGTTGCTTAGGTCTGCTTAAGAATCATGATTTAATTATGTTACCAAAAGAAATGAGACTCTAATAATTTCTTAGTATAATTTCAATTGCAGAGAAGTAAATTATATGATTTTCTTTAAGTTCTTTTTTTTTTTTTTTTTTTTTTTTTTTTTTTTGTAATATTTCGGTAAATATGAAAACACGTTTATGACTTTAGAAGAGAATGCTAGAATTTTAGAATAAAAATTTAATTTAATTTTTTTATTTTAGTCGAAATGGAAATTGACTCATTTATGAAAATAATATTACTTACTCTACTTAATTTCGTCAGAAAAATAGCCGTATTTTGTATTGTTTCACGGATGAAAAATTATTTCATTTTTTAATTGCATGAATTTACAACTTGTGTTAAAGTTTAAAAAAAGAAAAGAAAAAATAAAATTCCTCTTATTACATTAAAAGACATATTTGATTGTCCTACAGTAAAAGGAAGAGTAACTATTCAGATACTTCGA